AGTATTCATATAGTCAAATTTAAAAACATTTACTGTGACTTCTGGGAATTTTCATTGCTGCAAAATTTGTCAGTTTTTTGGTGAACATAACACTGGACACAGGCACTCCATACATTGTACACTGTTAATATATTTATTTTTCAGTTTGTTTTAATTTTGCTGTTTTTTGTTGAAACTGAAATCTGCTAAATTTTATACATCTGACCGTGTAAAACTATACAATAAAAGTCGTTGATTCTCTGGAAAATCTGTGAATTTAAAACCCAGTCAATAAGCTTGAGTTACCAATTAACTGAAACTAAACACCAGATTGTTTATTAGAAGCTTTTCTCGAATACTGTCAAATACTTTATTTTAGCAGGAATTAATTTTCACTGAAAAGACTATTTGAGTGTTCGGTATGGAAATTTGTTTTCACTGATTTTTAAAAAGTTAAATGTAAAATATAGGAAGGTATATTTGCTGGATTTTATTTTCACTGAATCACTCCTTCAGTGAAAATAGCGAAAATTAATTCCAAGCGAAAATAAAGTATTCTACAGTAGTACACTTGAACCTTTGATCTCCAAAGTCTACTTTTGTCATCATTTGCAAAATAAAACCCAGATTTGTTCAAAAAAATGTAAGGCCTGTAGACAATGATTTCTATTTGGTCCAAAATAATCAAAAATATTCTAAAAGAATACACAAAACTGTGTTGAACTAAATTTATAGCATGATAAATTATTGTGTTCGAAGTGTTAACAAAATTTCAATTACTCTGTTAAAAAATTGCACTCCTAATACAGCAAATACTGTTTTACTCTTACATAATATGAGGTTATTACGAGGATACCTCAAAGTATGCAGGAAGACAGTACAGCGGGAGTATCGACCGACGTGCAGTGGAGGTCGATGCGATGGCATACTGTCTGAGTGCTTATTTTGAGGTATCCTCGTAATCACCTTATTATTATACATCTTTTCCTTCCGGAATCCAAAAAGGTTTAGAACAGAATCAGCGAACTTCTTTGTGTGGAGTACGGTCAAATGGTATGATGAATTACCCCGTAAAATACATTGTACCGCAAAATCACGGCACGCTGTAACTTATCACGTTGCGGTGACAGATGTATAATAATTGGTGTTATTATGATTTTCATTTGTTGCCAGGTATTTGAGCAGACAGACTGGAACAGGAAACATTCAAGTATAAGTTTTAAACCTATAAACTTTGCCATCGTGTTGAAATTATCAAAGTCACAGCTACAGGAGAGAGCATTCAAGGTGAGAGTCCGCAACTCTTTGCCACTTAAGTATAGTAGTTAGTAGTAGTAGTAGTCCAGAGTTTTAAATCCGGTTTGGTCCTCGAAGACGAGGGTGGCCGGATTCACCTTAAACTAGTGGCAATAATGGTTGTAACTGCCATTTAAGGTTTTTTTGGAGCATGAGATAATTGGCCGGATGCCCTTCCTGACACCAATCCACTGTTTCGGCAGTGGGCCTAGCCTTTGAGGGCAACACCCATCATGCAAGGCAGCATGTGTAGAGGTATGTGCTATACATGACCTGGTCTGAAAGCATCATATGACTCATAACAGACTGTGTTCAGGAAAGAACCACTTGGTCAAGGATGGGGTGCTCAGCACTTAAGTATACCCCTACATACCCTCCTTGTATAGAACAAGTTTTATTGGTTCCATATCCTGCCTTGCCATGCACTGGTGTTCTATTGCACTGTAAACAAATTCTACATTTCAAGATGACGTTCTTGAAGATAAAATTTCACAAAACATTCCGTGTCATAGAATCTCAGAGAAATTTCCAATATTACAAAATTCACTGACTCTTGAATTTCAAGAATATTTTTCTTTTGTGAACTCAAGTAATTTACAGTATAATATTGATGTACCAACTGAGTAAATATAGATTATTAAATAAGAACACATGACGTATGCAAATGAAATATTCCAGCTGTCTAGGTGCTGTTTACATGTTTATTGCACAGGAGTTAATTTTAAAAAAAATACCTAGTTCTCCAGTACTATTTGAAAAACTGGTTGTACTCGTCATGTGATAAATCTTCTTCTTTTCTCTTTAAGGATGGATTAATTGATCAATTATATGATTTGTTAATGGAACATCTCAATATTCACAGCCATTGTATAGGATTCCCTGAACTGGCATTACCACTTATAGTTGAGGTGAGACACAAGATCAATTTATTTTACAGCAATAATTTTATTGGCCTTAAATATTCATTGAGCTGAATAATGGTCACCTATTTGTAGTTTTTTTTACCCCATGCAATTGCTGTTGTTTACTTCTCATACTAGGGTTACAAAGAGTGACACAACTCGTCTATTACCTCTTTTAAGGTGGTTAAATTCTGTCATGCTTATACATGATATAAATATCTTGGGTTTCGCAACTAGATTCCCAAGATTACCTCCAGCCTGACGAGGTCGCGTGAGTTGCGCCCTCCGCGGTGCTCCAAATCCAACATACGCCTGACAGAATGATGTAGTTTTTCACTTTCGCAGACGGTTTTTTGTTTGTTCAAATTGCAGGAATGTCAGATAGTGACAGCCATCAAAGAGTAACCATTCACGGCAGAGTTTATTTGTTTGTTGACATAATGTGTGATAAGGTGCTGGAAAATTTTTGCCCAATCTTGTTGAATACAACCTGTGATTTTTCCCACAAAGCAAACACGGCTTCAATTTACAGTGTTACCATGACCACCAATATGAATATTCCTTGCAAGAAGGCGTGAACTTTGCGAATTCGCAGTATTGATCTTGCCGACGAGACATTCACTATTCTGCCAGGTGTTAATTGGGTTGGATGCCATTCAGCCGGCGAGGGCCTATTCACCCCTACATGTCAACTAGATTACCGGTACCTCATGCTTGTAATCTTATTTAAAAATTCAGTTACCAGTATGATCAAATGAAACTTAACAATCTTTAGACAGATTTGAATTATTTTTTTGATTTAACAATGTGTGTAGATACTTTTTATGATAGGTTGTGACTAGTTATGGTAGGTTATTAATGTTTTTAGTCCCCGTTCTGACGCAGTCCGAAAACGGGGACTTATGTTTTGACCTCCGTGTGTGCGTCTGTGCGTGTGTCCGGACCTGTATCTTAGAAATGCCTGTACCAATCACAATCAAACTTCACACATACATCATACATGATAGTATACATATGCACGTCAATTTGTTTCACGATCTGCTTCAAGATGGCCATTTTTGTGCTAAAAATCATCAAAAACAATCATTTCTCTGCTGTTAACAGATGGATTTTGTTCAAACTTGGTATATACATTAGACATTATAGGACCTTGATGCACATTATTTTGTTTTACGATCTGATTCAAGATGGCGGAATGGCGGCCATTTTTGTGCTAAAAAATCATCAAAATCAAGCATTTCTCGGCTGTTTACAGATGGATTTTGTTCAAACTTGGTATATACATTAGACATTATGGGACCTTGATGCAAATAATTTTGTTTTTTAGATAAGATTCAAAATGGCCGACTGGCGGCCATTTTGTTTTAATGAACGTGGTTCTCGTGCCATATCTCTGACTTGCTTTCACTGATTATGTTCAAATTTTAAATATTCATTATACATCATGTCATAGATAGACAGATATATTGGTTT